CTTTCGCTCAGCTATTTTAGTTTTCCAAGAGATTTTTATGCATTTTATAAATATTCGTTATTCGTTAAATTTGAACAGCATTTAGTTGCTCGCTTAAAATTCAAATTTTATTTTTTGTACAAATGTACTTTTGTGATCGTGTATAACAGTATAAAACATAGGATTCATAGGTTGATTTTAGAATGTTTTCTTTTCATGCAATTAAACACTTAACTATTTCCCTTTGAAAGAATAAACAACTTTTTCATTTTCTCAGAAGATGTAGCTTGAATGAAGTATAATATTTTCTGATTCTATCAACACTTCTGTTTCAGAAAAAAAAAGTATTAGATGTCAATATTCCAAATACTGATTCCTTGTTTGTTCTCTTAACTTGTGCATAAACTAGTGCACAACTTTTTTTGTAGATAAGAATCAATGGCATGTAAGGAATATTCCAACTGAGATACTTGTATTTGTTTTATTATGTAGAATAATGTTATTTTCTATGGTTCGTCGGTCGCTCGATGATCACTTTCTGTTGAATGAAGCGATTAAGATGAAAATAGAATGAATATTTTGAAAAACAAACTGATTATAGATTTGATGAAAAAAAAAAGGTTTTCTCATTGTGATAATTACATCGAAAGAGCCATAAAGTCAGAATAATATGTTATTTATCATTTGATCTTATATTTCTATATTTAAAGAAATACAACCTCGTTTTATTGTCGAAAATCGTCAGTCAATTTTCAATCCTAATCCTTTCAAAAGGCAGAAATGTATGCTATTCAAGAAGACGATGTAGACATCTCTGATAAATATCAAGTCTTTTTTTTTGAGACAGTAATACTCCCTAGATAAGTACCTTGGAAAAAAACTTTTGTTTTCTTGATATTAAAACGAAGAGATTATTACTTTTTTTTTTATTGTATGTTACTGGCTGAGTTAAAAAATTATTGACTTACGCATTTCAATTCAGCACGATCCTTACAAATAATGGCTGCAAACGAAATTCAACAGAATTGTTTTGTCTAATTGACAGCTAAAAGACAGATGCATACGAACGAGCATCTTCATCTAGTTATTTCTTTTTACTATGTAGATGCTTGAAATATTTTTCATCAGTTCATGCTTGTATCTTTTTCATAACAAATCCATTAATTATAGATTTGATTTCAATCATAATGGCAGAATACAACAATAATATTGTTCACTCTCCATTGGAACTCAAAGGCCTATCAAAATACTTATCGCTAATTTTTCATCGATCACTCGAACGAGCTGTATGGGCATTTTGTGAATTGGGTATTGCTGATTTAATGGCTGATTATCAAGCTCCAATTACGGCATCAGAATTATGTCGATTGAATGGAAATAATTGGAATGCAGAATTTCTCTATCGATTGTTACGTGTAATTGCTGATGCTGATATTATAAAAGATTTAAATAATGATGGTGAAAATTCAACTAAGTATAGTCATCCAGAAGAAATAATTCAATTTCAATTGACAGAAGATGGATTATTATTGACAAGTAATCATTTTTCAAAAGCACGTGATATGATTCGATTAGATTTAGGTCCGAATGCAGAAAAAATAACAACATATTTTCCATCTTTAATTAAATTTGGTTACAACAATGGAAATAGTTTCGAACAAGCATTTGGTTGCAGTTTATTCGATTATATGCAAAAAGAAGAGAACAAAGAATATGCAAATATATTTAATAATTCAATGGTTGCCTATTCATATTATATGGCATCAGCAATAGTTTCAGTTATTGATTTTACTCGTTTCAATAAATTAGTTGATATTGCTGGAGGATTAGGAACATCATTATCATTTATTCTAGAAAAATATCAAAATTTACATGGTATATTATTTGATTTAACACATGTAATCGAAAATGCTAAAATGATGGATCCAAACGAATTTCAACGAAAAAATATTGAATCAACTCGTTATGAATTTGTTGCGGGAGACATGTTCAAATCTGAAACAATACCATCAGCCGATGCCTATATATTGAAATACATTATTCATGATTGGAACGATGAAAAATCTATTGAAATACTCAAATCAATACGTTATGCCAACAAAACTCAAATAGAAAAGACAATTACAGTATTTATAATCGAAATGATAATATTGTCAAATGATAAAGATAACTGGGAAGCACACGTAATGGATCTTGAAATGTTATCAGGCATTGGTTCTAAAGAAAGAACCTTAAATGAATATATCAATTTACTGAATAAAAGTGATTATACATTGAAACAATTATATAGAACAAAAGGTCTTATGTCTATTATTGAGGCAGTAACAACAACAACAACAACAACTCAAAATTGTGATTGACAGAAAAATCACTTCATAAATGAACAATTTCAACAACAGATCTTAGTTTTTTGTGTAGCATATGTATTTAGATTCTATTCTCGAATTTATATATGAAATTGAAATAAATTCTAACTTAACAATAATAATGAGCAACGTATTTTACTTAGATTTTCAATTACTCATTACGTAAGTAAAGTTAGCGTCATATTCAACTTTGTCTTGTTCGAATTCGCTTTATGACTTGTGTTAGCTCTCTAATTTGTTGCATCAGTTACAGAATTGTATTCTCTATAGAATGGTATCAATTTCAATAGGGATCATCGGTTAAAATATTTGATTTTGATTGGATTTCTCTTCAACGTTACTTTTTTTAATTTGGTTCAGACAAGACAGCATTCAAGTGTGCGGATGTAACCTATCTCAGATTTACTGTTTTCCAAACATCATAAAATAGTACGAATTTGTTCGAACTAACAAATTATTATGCTACCCTTTGAGTTGCCATATGCATTGAAAGGAAAGAAAAGGTGATGTCACTTCAAGCAATAGCGGTCTGCTAAGATCCATAAACAAAATCAATGTAAAAAGATTGTTTATTGAATTCAAATCAATGTTACAGAACACAGTCTGTCACGTTTTTATTCTTTCAAAAAAGGAAAAATCAGATCAGTAAAAGAATTTAAAGTCAACAATAGTTTGTGAATCTGATACTCCAATGGTCAGTTTCCTTGGTAAAAGTATTTCCATTTGTTGCCACATATTGTGTCGTTCCACCGGTGGGTTCCTCAACATTTTGGAAAGTGTTACTGATATAAGTATCAATACAACTATCAAGTGCGATGCCGATTTTGTAGCCATCTTCATCATTTGTTTCCTTTTATATTTTAATAAAATTTACAAATAAATGAAAAAAAAACAATGTTCTTACCGTGCCAGCCGTAATGGTAATATCACATTGTGAGTTCATCTTGAGTTGCCTCAAACAGCCAATTGAGTCACAATTGATTTGTTCGAGTGACACGCACGCTATTGTAGTTTCACCACCACATTCACTGTCTGAAGGCATTTGTACACCCATCAATATGACTTGTGCAACAGCTTCAGTATGTGTCATTTTACAATCGGTCAAGTCAATCACTAACAATTATTAAAAAGAACTCATTAAATGTTTAGTCCTATCTCGAAAACATTTTTTCTTCTTTTCTATAGAGTGCTTTAATTTATCAAAATCTCCAAAAAAAAATTATCTCATGATAGCAATGAAAGTTCATTTAAATTGAATCTTTCTTATGATTTGATATTGATATCTCACCTGGATTACTAACAGTCGTTCCAAGAATCATCATTACAAGAAAAAAAATCCGACTCATTGTGTCTATCAAAAGAAAATTTATGCAATGGTAAACATATTTTCAGTCCCCTTTTTTTTCTACTATGGTTGCATTCACACATTCAAGAGAGTAAGTGTATTTGTAAAAACATGTTTTGTTGACACACTCTTTTTCGCTTGATCATATAACGAGAAAAAGCATTTGTCGTCAATTCATAATATGTAATTTATGCAAAATGAAAGTGATAAACATACATAGTTAATTGCAGTAAACAAAGTGAAAAAAAGGAAACACTCAATCATCACTGAGACAGAAAATGTGATTTTGACATTCTATTTTCCTTTCTGAATTAATTTCACAAAAATTTTCTAAAAATCATTATGCGAGTATCTCACTTTTTCTCTACATCACAGAACTATTGTCCTGCGAAATTTTTCATTTATGAACTTAAAAATTGATGTTGTACTTGACTTGTTGAAATACTATTCAGCATTCGAAACTAATCATACAAGAATTAACACAAAGATATACAGAGTGAACTAAAAGTAACAGAACAAATAATTTTTTCGATTTTTTTCGTTGTACATATTCCGTTAGATATACTAGATGATATAATCTAAAGATATAGGATATAATCAGTATCTAGATTTAAAGCAATAGAACTAGAAAATGACATACACCCACAATAATACATACTCATGAGCTTTTTTTATAAAAATTGTTCAATGTGTTTACACTCTAAGTCTTTGTAAAGTTGCAATCATTCAAGTACTGATTCACATACTTGCCGACAAGTTCGCACATCTAAATGCTGATTATATGCTGTATCTTTGAATTATATCATTTAGTATATGTGGTAAAAATATGAGATCTAACTGAACATATACAAAGAAAAAATTATTTGTCCCGTTATTTTTGGCCCACCCTGTACATAGCATTTTATTATAACTAATTAATTCATTACCAAATCGATTGGCTACAACTTGAGATGACAATCAATTTAGGGTATGAGTCTGGATCTCATTCTTTTTTGTTCCTGTGCGAAAAATTCATTGAGAATGATGAAAAATTGTTTCAACCAGTAAAAAAGGCTACATTTGCCTTTACCAATGAACATCTGTGATTGTAAGTGTTTCATAAACAATAACATTTATTAATAAGATAAGAACAGTTTAATTTTTTTTAATACTCAGATAACTATTCCTTTCTGCATTGTATGACCGAGATCGTGTCGCTCAGAAACCGTAGCAATAAACACTACTTGAAAATGAGAAGAAATAGAGTACCATAAAACGAAAAAACACCTCTCACCTCTTGGATTACTTCAATCTTTTTGCTTTCATTCTGTCTCATGCAACTCTAGCAAAGAGTAACGTTTTATCGATTTTAGCTTTAAAGTAAACTAGAGATACAATCTGTTAGAGAAAATACCGTACAGAAACATGAGATATGTATCTGTAGCAGTCATCGTGTATCTATCTTGTTGCTAAGCTACCTGAAGAATCAAGAATATTGCTTACTTTAGTTGCAACATTCATAAAGTATACTATGTATTGACTTGTTTTACTATGTTTTGTATCTGTAAAACCCGTTCGATACGAACAGTTTTCAGAAAAAAAGACCGAAAGCTTGTTTTTCTAATAACTTCTCGTAGTTTTTCTTTGTTTATTTAGTTTAATCTTTTGAAAAATGTCTTCTAATGGTACATATGTCATCTTAAGAGATATATGGAAAGATGAACTTAAAATTACAAACAATGCTAATGGAGTTTGTGTGACTGCGCCTATTTAAGGTGGATTTCGAGGTTTATATAATTTGCCATTGGGTGCATATACTATTGAAAATCATGGTGTTGAACTGAAAATCAATCTTACCCATGATGCACCTGTGCAAGTCTGGCAGCTGGATAGCTCGAACGGAAAATGGATAGAAACTAAAGAGGGTGATGATGATTTCGGCTACCATAATTTGGCCAAATCTGGTGCGATGAATAAGCACTTAATTGATGTGAAACAAGCGATACCTAAATTATTCGATAGCACGGCGTAAGCAATCGGTCATACATGAACCTATGTTCACATAAATATTTTCATATTATCCTTCTCAAGATTGAATAAAATTCCACAAGTTATATATGAACCATTTCACATACGCCATGACCGATGCACAAAGCTTTCTTCAAAATGAAGACCCTTAAGATAGAGAATTTGTGGACTGAATATCTCAAGAATGGCTTGACTGGTCGAGCAGAAATTTTTGTAAATGCATATACCTATGAGTTATACGAAAGAAAATATCTGAATAGGTTGAGTCCTTTGTATTCTATGGGTTTCGCTTCAAACAGAAAAAACTGCAGTTTCGGACTACTGAAGGTTTTATATGTCTAGATTGGCAAATGACAGATGTTTCAAATCTTTTCAGTAGATAGAGAAATGATAGAATTCTGTTCTCAATACAAACTTGAGCTCGACTGTATATTGTATTCGTGCTAGAGGACTTTACCAACGTTGAATTTTTTACGAAAATTTGAGTTTACAGTCGAACTTATCGATGAGTTGACCCAATCAATTTAGAGGTGCCATTCGTCAGTTTGAAGTCCAATCTTTGGTCGGGAACATGGTATGAAATTTAGCTTGGGATCTCGACGAACTGTACATAAAAAGGATCACCTTGGGGAGCCTAAATAAGGTGCTTAACTCGATAGATAAGCCTACAATTTAAATTGCAATATTTGATTAATGAGGGAAGGTATCCAAGTGTGACGTGCCGTTTTGAATCGGATGTATACTAGTTTGTAGAGCTCGACGAGCTGGTTTTAATGGTATAAAGCGTTCTTCCCCATAGAACTTTAAATTTAAGATACTGAAATTTTACACGTACTACAATGTAAAAGATCAAGTTTGATCATTGATCATCTCACTTTTGACTGTAGATTTTCACTTAATAGAGTAAAAACCACCTAACGATATCTTATTCTGCATGCAATTACTCTTCGACCAGTTGTCCAATCCGAAAGACAAACAGACTTTTAGCACGCTCGAAAATCTCGGATGTTGCTGTGGAACATAGCCACAACTTGACCATTCAAATGAAATCAGCGATCCAAATTTATGACCGTAAATATGATCTCTCACAAGTAGAATCGATTGATTTTGTCTAATTTAAAGACCTATGGGGAAGTACTCTTTATGCCATTAGAATCAGCTCGTCGAGATCTACAAACCGCTATACATTCAATTCAAAACGTCCCCTCATACTTGGATACCTCTTCTCGTTAGATCGTAAGAATACATCTAAATCGGAGACAACAGAAGAAGTACAAATGTTGATTACTCTCTCTTATATTCGACACTACTATTAGCAGAGAAAGAGAGAGCCAAGAAAAGATAATGCATCTCTTTCAAGACATGTCGTTCTTTATTTGAATGACAATCACATTTTCTATATGACTTTCCTTTGTACTGATATGAAATGGAATAGAGAAACAATGTTCGCATAGAACAAATCGCATGATACGACATTTTCAATGAGCGAAGATAAAGATCTACTCGAGTACCAATCAACAATTTTCATGTGCCATTAGACAAAATGCTGTGAGACTCGTTGATAAAAATCTATTCGAAGATATGCAACCGACGTTGTGTCTTCAATATAATAATTAGAACGCTTGTGAATGATGTGAAGACTCTGACCAATATCTCCATCCTTATTTATTTATTTCGCCAGAGATTGTAACGGAAATCGAAAAAACTTTGTTAATTCTACCAACTGAATATACATACTTTTTTCATAACTAGATCATATCAAAGTATACAACAACGAAGTTTTCTATGTAACGTATTTAAAAAAAATAAGAAAATTTATCTTTTTTTTTTTCGTTTGACAAAAAACACTTATCAGCAATAAACAACGGTTGAAATGCGCAAGACATAATTTTGCTCTTTATTCATGAAGGCTGAAAAATGAAATAAGTTACATTCACAATTTTTTTTCGTTTAAAAATTAATCTAACTATCTTATAAATGGGGTGTATAGTGAGAGTAGAAAATATTGCGTACGTTTTGCTTCTGCTTCCTATATTTGCAATTAGATACATTGTCTTCTACTACTCTACTCTCATACATTTATCAAATTAAATTTTACTTTTACATGTTAGTATTTATCTTATATTCGATAACAATTATGGAAAACATTAACATTTATGATTACAGATTCAAAAAAAAACCAAGTGTGCCGAATATAATTTTAGAAAAGAAAACAGTATATAATCGTATCAAAATTTGACGAGAATGTCTATGCAAGGAATAATATTATCTGTAGTTATTTTACTATTTGCTTATGGTATTCATTATTGTTGGTTATTATTACCTATTATTAATGGATATGGAGCTAAATACATGTGTTCATCAATATTTATAGTTGGTTATAGTGAACGACAACAACGTACCGAAGATCTTGATATGTTTCCTATGAAATATGTAACATTTACTGTAAATACCAATGATTTATCAGTAAGTGCTTCTCTATTTAGATTTGCTCAACGTAAAGCTATTTATCGCAATGGACTCGGTGCAATATTGATTAGTGAATTAACAGAAGATCAAATTCATGCACAAACATTCAATAAACCTATATCACCCGATATAAATCAAGATAATATACCATGGTCTATGGATAATAAACTAGATGATGATGACTGTTTTCCATCAAATATCAATCAAACACTATTGCAAGGTGCAATAAACAATTTGTTTATTGAAAGAGATCCAACTAAACTTATACGTACACGCGCTATAGTTATTTCGTACGATGTAAAATTGATTGCAGAATAATATACTCGAGGATTTTCACAAGTTTCAAAATTTTTAGGTTGAAGTATGACAAAAAAGTATTACTAGTGCACTTGTTAGTATTTTAGTGAAAGATATGAAATTAAATATTGACGAGCCTGCTCCTGTAATTGAATGGAATAATACTAATGATCCTCGTCATTCGATAACAATAAAAAATTTATTACAACAAACTAGTGGTTTGAATTTTGAAGAAATTATTATTCGAAAAGTGATGTAACCCAAATGTTATTTTATACAAGTGATATGGCTGCATTTGCTGCTTCACATCCATTAAAAAATAAGCCATATAGTGAATGTTATTATAATACTGGTAGAGTACAAATATATTATCACGTATTATTCGTCATACAGTGGGTGAAAATGAATATCATTCATTTCCTTATCGAAAATTATTTTATAAGCTTGGTATGAATAGTTTTATTATGGAAGTTGATGCATCAGGTACTTTTGTCTGTTCATCATATTCATGGGATACGGCTCGTGATTGAGCACGATTCGGTTTATTATATTTAAATAATGGATTGTATAATAATAAACGAATATTATCTGAAAATTGGATTAAACAAACAATTATACTTGCTGGTCCTAATTAATATAGTGAATATGGATTTCATTTTTGGTTAAATAAAGGTAAAAATAATGATTCATCTGTACGAAGATTTCTAAATGTACCTACAGATATGTTTTATGCAAGTGGTTTTGATGGACAAGCTATATATATAATTTCATCGAAGAAATTAGTCGTTGTTCGTCTTGGTTTAACAAAATTACCAGAAGGAGAATATGGAGCAAATGAATTTTTAAAAACTATTAATAATTTAATTAAATAAAAATATTGTTATGTTTGGCACTCAAAAAACATTATGATATAATATTTGTCTTAATCATAGATAGATGCACATAGGAAATATATAAAGAATAATCTTACTAAAAGTCAAATATTGAATTGAAAGAAAAACAAGTATTTGTTCTTTCTTTTCTCTTTACAATAATCTTGATTGAAGATAATATTGTCGACATGAATAATCATCAATATTCGAAGATAGTTCATACATATTCATGTCAGTTTTTTTTTATTCCATAACAAATAAATTTACTAGAAATGGCTAGGGAAGCATTATCACATTGATATATATATGTATGGAGGAACTCATATTTTGTAAAGCATGTTTTCAAAAATAAAATCTAAATCTTATTGATTCTTTGACTTCGATAATAACAAAACTTTGAAATTGAATTCGATGAAAACACGAACTGAGTATTTTCTCCTTTAAAAAACAGTTCGATTATCATTTTTCTTCTTAATCTTTATGAATCAAAACAGAAATGTTGATTGAAGACAATCCATTTGACACAGAGTTTTTTTTTTTAACAAATCGAATCGATCGAAAGTGAACAGTAACAATCGAAAGAAATTGAATATATTTCATATATATCAGGTTAATTGTCTCTCGACAAAATTCAATATCATCCAATGGACACGATCGATTCGAATAGAGAATAACAATGTTTTTCTTAACTGGCCAATGTTTCAGTAATATGATGTCAAATCTTTCTTAATTTTCGTCCGATCGAATGGATATTATTATTTCGAAATCATTTGATCGCCGAATAAATTATTCGCATTCTAGTCAATCAAACAAACGTTCATAGCATTTTTGAATATGAGTAAATAATTATGATATCGATTTATTAATAGCTAAAATTATTTCATGGAATTATACCCTGTCAATTCTATCAAGTATCTTTGCTTGCTTTTGATAGAAAGCTTATCTGTATATTGTTGATATTTATTTTTGCAATTTCAATCGATAATATTCTCATATTTTTCTTCTTTTTATCAGTTCATTCATTTGAAAACACTTTCATTCTATTATATTGTAATACACATAATTGCAAGTTTTTCACCTCCGATAATAATACTAACATAGTTACCAACCTATAGTGAATAAACTATTTCGATAATAAAAACAATTTGAGATATTCATCAATGGTAAACCAATTTCTTGCAAATGTATCAAACAGTGATCGCGTAGTAAATCATCTCATGTCTATAATAAGTTTTGTTTTGTTTTTAAACCTGAAAAAGTGCGTCTTTCTTATCGAACTATTATCTGTAAATATTTTTATAACAAATGACATAAAAAAAAGGAGATGTCAAAATTTTTAGTCTATTGTCAAAGATTTATTCGAATATGGAGTGAATTGTTAAAACTTTCGAGATGTTAATCAAGGAACAACAAAGCAAAATTTGATGAACTATATTTTCTGCATCCTTCTAAATCATTTCAAATTTAAAAAAAATTTAATTCACTTCATAAAATTTGTTGATATTCAACGAAGTTTTTACGCCTTTTGAGAGTCGTTTCGTTTTTTTTTTTTTGTCAATTTACTTTTCAATTTCTTTCATGGTTTCATCTATTTTATTCCGTTCATCAAGATGCAACGATATTATGAATCATATTTTTTTTGTCATTGATACCCTAAATTTTCTACTATGGATTTAATTTCTTCGATTTCTATATTATTTCATTATCGCAATTGATTAATTGAATTAGCCTGTGTTTGCCGAATTCGTTTTTCACCGACGACTTTTTTTGTCGATTTCTATATCGTTGAATGAATTCATAGCAGAAAACAAGTTTGGATCAAAGTTTATATAGAGATCTGATCATATTTGATTCAGATTCGTCTTCAGTTATGAATTCATTCAACGAAAATGGAAATTATCAATTGATTCTTCGTTTTGTCGAATGAACAAGCATCATACAGTTCGCTTCGAAATGCATACCATATATCTCAATAGTAATAAATCACTTGATTTGATCATCACTAGTCTAGAAGCTCATCTAATCTGTTTGAACCGACTGCATAAGCAGCTATTTTGATATTTTTGAGCTTGGATCATGCTAACATATATTGTCAAAGTCAAGTAATGGATCACCATCGTATCTTAACGATTTTCTTATTTGTCCATAGAAGTCACAAGACGAACTCAAATATTGACTACTTAATTTAAATTATTTCGTCTTCAGGCATTCGAACTCTAAAGTGTTCAACTTTTGCGATTAGAACGCTGTTAAACAAGCGTAAAATTCTAGTGTATGCAATCGAGCTTAAATCTCAGCTTATATTGGACCATAATTTAGATGTTCACTTGTCAGTAACTTGTGTTTTTTTTTGAAGAATGTGACTTTCTGTAATTTTTTTTTACAAAAATATATTAAAAAGTAAATTTAATACAATCAACCGTTCGAAATTACCAGACATTCGAATGTAAAGTCTCTCATATAATCTACAGCGGCTTTGTACAGACTTTTTCAATAGTTCATAAGTATTTTCGTAGAAATCTTCGCATTTTTGAAACCTATGTCAGATTATTTTCATAAGGCTTCAGTTGAAAATAAGAAAGTCAATTAAAAGTGATCCGACGGTTTGTCTCATGTCTCCAGTAAAAAAACATTTTTCTCAGCAGTAGTAAAAATTTTAAAAAAAAAAGCTTGATAGATTTACTAAATATGACACCCCAATGTATCACCCGTCGATTTACACTTCTATGGCAGAGGACTATTTGTTTTCAAAATGATTCGAACATCTTTGTTGACACGAATTTTGGATGCTTCTTTAGAATAATGAACTTTGAACATTACATCTTGTAGTCCGATTTGAAAAAGTTAGTTTTATGATACAGGACACACTTTCAATATTTTGAATGTTTCTACATGAACAAAGTATTTTGAAGGTAAACAAGATGATATTCGTGGTCCTTGAATTTTGGGCTGTATAACTATCTATAATGTATTCAAAACATATTTCACCTTTAGTTTGTATTGCATGCATTTTTATATAAACGGCACTGTTTCGTATTTACTTTATGAGTAACCGTGAACGACCAGTGTTGCCATTGCTTCAATTGTACATTACTGTTCTTTTTATGGTATAAAAGAAAGAAATGTGTCATTCTTCAAGTCGATGATTTATCAATATGTAATGCCATAGTTCTTTTGTTTTAGTTTACCATTCGAATATCCCCGAAGCAACTGTAAAAAAGATCAGAACATTGAGTGAAACAGTATCATACTAAGTTTTTCAACTACTGGAACATTTCACAACAACTGAGTATGTCTTCTAGAGTTGAAATTGATAAGAAGAGGTGCTAAATAACATCAAGACGGAATTCGTATTTCTTGTGTAAACATGTGTGTGTATATATAAGTTTCGTGTACATTCTTCTTTTCATACGTTTCTTTTTCTTTCTCTCTCGTGACCCCTTATTATTTGAGAGAAATTATACGATACATCATATTATACAAATCTTGGTTATTTCTTTTCTTCATTGGTAAGACTGATTAAAATTCTTACATTTTTTCTTGTTCTACTTGTTTTTTTTTTATTGCGTATTTGGTAAAGCAGATGAAGCACGACATCGTTTGTTTTACTTCCTACTAACCTAACTTTCAGTAGCGAAGTGTAGTCAAGTTACAGCCATTCTTTTTTTTTTACTTTCTTCTCTTGATCTCCTTTTTGTTCGTTTTTTTTTGTTTGCGTGGTTGTATTTGTTTGAGTGCTGTATGAAAAATATTTCTTTGTTGCCAAGAATAATGAGTAGCTGCCTAATTCGACTTATAATATAAATGCAGAAATATAACCACACTATTCATAGGAATAGATTTAGTTTTAGTCACAATTATATAGATATACATAGATACCCATGTTATTCATAGGAATAGTTTTAGTTTTAGTCATAGTTATAGAGATATATAGATATACATAGATAATCATGTTATTAAAATAACTCAAAAGCACGTTTATTTTATTAAACAAGATACATTTCTCACAGTATATTGCAGACTTTTCATTATAAATTTAATATGCGAGAAACAATTTTGCTGTGTTCATTTTGTTCATTAAAATGCACGATGATGAATAAAATAAATACACAAAGAAACTACGTAAAAGTAATAAACAAATAAAAAAGAAATTTATTGTACCGAGCATAAATATTAGAAGATTTTAATACCATATTACTTGTATGTCAATAAAACTATCATAAATGAATACCATGAGCTATGTATATCTATATAACTATATAACTAGAACTAAAACTAAATCTATTCCTATGAATAACATGAGTATCTATGTATATCTATGTATATCTGTGTATATCTATATAACTAGAACTAAATCTATTCCGATATATATCTATTTATTTTATAAGTCATATATGACTGTTGAGGGATGCATTCATATTATAATTCGAATTAGGCAACTCATTAGAATAATTGCACAATAGAGACGAAGAATCCCAGTCAATTAATGCCAGCGAATTCAATGAAAATTTACCTGTAAGTAGGTACAGATAAGTTGTGCAAATACCAACAATTTCAGCTTCTAAAATCGTACCCTTGTTGAGACACGTAATCTACAACAAGGACTACGTGAGATGAAAAACATAGATGACTATTGAAGTACCCATGCTTTGTATATTTCACAATCACTCAACAATTATGTTTTTAATAATGAAATTTGGTGACCATATACTGTCATAGGTACTCTATATACTGGCACGTTCTGAAACATTTGTCGATGTGTTAAGCAATATAGAAAAATTTCACAGCTCCTAAATACACATTCTATTTTGTGATCAGGATTTCTATCTCTTATGAGTGACCTAAGAGCTCTTGCTTAGCAACTAAATACTAGTATATCCATCTCCACTTCTCTCCTGCAGTTAATTGTAGAAATTTTCAGAATAATGACTTTTTGTGTTTGACTTAAAAAAAAAACCTTTTCTCGCATATACATATATGAGCGAGTTTTGAGTAAAACTGCTCAGTCAGCAATCGCCGATTTCATTCAATTTTATAAATATCTATAGAGGAAAATGTTTGATGAATTTTTACGAAAGTCGTTCAAAAAAAAATATTATTCTATTCTCGAGATATTTCAAGTTTTTGGAGAACACTATCGTCAGAAGAAAATACATTTTCTGTGTTTTTTCTTGCGCTATTTATGATAGTCATATCTCATCAAGCATACATTCTTTGAACTTGAACTTCTTACTGTGAATACATCTCATGTTCGTAAAAATTCTAATGTGATTCTCTATTTTCACATTGTATACCGAAATTGTTTGGCAACATAGGAGATCCCTCAAAAACAATTGTTTTTTCGATCATTCAATCTTGATGAAATTTTCAAAGAACTTGTATCTTAAAAGAATGAACTTGACATTTTAGGTCAATGTAAGATGCGAGAAATGTAAAATTAGATTGGATTTTTTGTTTCATTCTTTTGCATATGATTTGATAGAGCTTGACGAGTTGGTCACAAATTTATAGTTTTTATTTCGATTTGATCAGTGTTTACCTAAAGAAAATCGTAATAAACTCGAATGATTGAATATGTACTATTCTTAATTATGAACTTTCTTTTTTTTCATAGAAATTTTCAACTTTCAATTATGTTCATTTTTTCAAACTTTATGAAAACATTTCTTCCAGATATATAAATTGGAGAAAAGAAAAGGAAAAAAGCATTGTTGTATTAGTGTAGAAAATAATGACATATAATCAATAGTGCCCATATAGTAAAAGATTAGTGTTGAAATAAACTGAATTAGTAACTCTCTAAGTTATACAACAAGAATTTTTGATTACAAGTATATGCTTACAAAAGTTGATGGTTAGAAACATAATTGTTGAATAATTGTGAAATATACAAAGTATAGGTGCTGCAATTGTCATGTAAATTTTTCACCTCACAACGCTTTTGTTGTAGATTACATGTCTCATTACATCAGCAAAACGATTTTAGCAGTTGAAGTTATTCATATTTCCACAACTCACTTGCATCTACATACAGACGAAATTTCATTGAAATCAGTAACATCAAGTGGGCATGTAGTTCACATTTGAGGAACGTAAGTACAAACTAACAGAAAAAAATTCTGTTCGAAATGCAGAAATAAATAAGACAGTTCGTGTGTCTGGTAGTCGATTATTCTTGATAAGAAACTATCATCTATTAGAGATTTTTATTTAGCATATTTTATATTAGTACAATGAAGATGAAAAAAGACATGTGAGCCCCAAAGAAACTGCGCTCATAAGCTTTTTATTACTCATTCTTGTGAAATCTATCATGATTATGTTTTGACATTAAGTGAGTCCAATGTCGATGTATATAATCGTAAATAATCTCATTCGACAGTGTGCATTGTGTTAAAGAAGCTAATACATGCAATGTCTACAATATACATATGCAGACTTATCTGCGAGCGAACAAAATCGAATTTGAGAATAATTTGCTGTCACAATTAACATTCTCATCAATGAACTCCTAACTGAACAATTTTATGAACAGGTTTTATCTTATAGATTCTGTGTGGATTTGTTTAGTTTACATGCTAGTGTAGTCAGATTTTTTTTTCATTTTTCTAACCAAAAATTTCACCAAAGGAACAATATCATGCTTTTAAATAAGGCAAGCTCAAATATTCCTAAATTATTCAACAATATAAAATCTATTATTATGTTGTGCTGTTTAATACTGGAGACATTCTTCAAGGACTTTCAATAGTCAATGAGTTGTACACAGTTGTTTTTCTAATAGAAAAACAGCACATACATGATCTTGACTCTATTGGAGGTAACTAACAACAATTAAGCGAACGCAACCTTTAATTTCTATTTTACCAAAATCAATTGTCCTACAGAGAAATATGTCGCGTGCAAATTTTTACCAAATAATTAAAACGAATCACATACCTGTGGTTCTCCAACCCGACGATATGCGTAGATGTTGAAAGATAGCATACTATGATAAGATAAGAAAGGACAAGAATAAGCTTATAGGTTTTGTATCGATATCATTGACATCTGCACTTATTTTTAGACACCTATTCCGGCACTGGTTGTTTCTTATATTGGCGCTGCAAGAGTGATTGTAACCATGCGAAACATCATCGTTCATAACATCGAATAATGACTGTAAAGTAGTCAGAATAGGAAATAAGAACATTTTTTTTTGCTAATAACAATTTGTTTCAGATACGTGTCCTAAACAATTTAACAGCTTACCAGAATTGGTTTCACCGTAGACACTTTGCTCTATATGTTACCATTCCTGTGATCGTTTTTCTGGTGTTCATCGGTCAGCCCAAATTTATTTTCCGACCTCACCTACACATACCTTGGCTCGCTGATGTACGACACGTGCTACCACTCCAGTGTATTTCTGATGTTGATCAACCTGATTGGCCACGTGCAGTGCAATCCGCCGAAAAATCTCTACCAGATAATTATCTCACCATTATCATTGTCACAACACGATGCGATTTCAAACGACTACCACTTACACTGGCTTCACTCGTATGCCATCTTGATTATCGGCAAGTTAGCGAGATTATCTTGCTCATTCCTCGTCCACATGTACCATTTCTTGAGCCATTTCTTACCGGTCAAGCTGCTAAACATTGGCCATGGCCTATATCGATCATGCCCGATGATAATCTCTTGAAACATTCGCATACACATTCATATCGTCTTCAAATGATGTTCAAATTAGTAGTTGCTCAAGTAATGAAAACCGAATATTACATGATACTTGATTCGGATTGTGTTGCTCTCTGGCCTATTCATGTTAAACAATTGTTGTGGCAACAGCAAGTATCAACTTCGAAGATGAAGAATAATACACCATCGCATCAAGCTTTGTATCAACTTGAAGAAAGATCAGATCATCCTGAATGGTGGCCTGAAAGTGAACAGGTGCTACGAATCGAACAGAACTCATGCGCCACAAATGATCCATCGGCAAAAGCCATAGGTGTTACACCAGCTATTCTATCGAAATCGATCGCATTGATGGCTTTGTGTCGATTGCAGACACTTTACGGTAAGTTTGTTATCAGCACCGAATTCTATTTCATATTATGACAATGCATAGGCGATCGATCTTTTTTGAACATATTGGCGAATTGGGCTTTGTGGCGAACACTATTCGGTCGGATGTGGACAGAATATACGTTGTACTATTTGACTGCTCGTTGCGCTGGCGTATTCAATTCTTATCACTTTCATCGTGCAAATACTTCGTCAATGCCTCCACTCAATTTGTACGGTCCAAGTATTTGGTGGCCCACCGACTGGCACTCGTTTTCACGAAATCAACTTCTTGAGTCGGCTAAGGCTGGTCTTCAATGGCGTCAAAAAGAAATTAATAATGGCAACGGTACACCTATTATTGATCTATCAGGTGCAACGAACAACCTTTTCACTGTTCTTCAAAGTCGTGTTTCGATCAATCAAACTCTATATCACAAGCTTCTCTATCCACTATTCATAGATCACTTGATGCAACGACAACACACTCAACAGGTTCTACAAATTCTAAATCAGATGGTAATACGGTTCGTGGAGAACAGTAATTCTGATGGACACAATTGAGGTTAAATTGTATTTCATTCGTATATTAAATGTCAAACAAAGAAAACTACTATATTTTCTACAAAACTAAAAAAGTTCTATGATATTTTAAGAGAGGGCTCACGAGACTATGAAGCATTCATTAGTAGGATCATTTAATGGTAAGAATTGACATATACTTTATTTTGTATTAATCGATTCTTCACACAAAAGCAGAGTTCTGAAAATTTTTTTAGATCTCTGTGATGTAATTTCATGGAGTCACAGGCATTGAAACCATGAGGAGTCTGGAAAAGAAGGAGAAAAATCACCTCTAGTGTTTTGCTGATATCTCTGTCATACTTTGTCCGTTTAACTTAAGCAACGTCTCATTCCAAAGAGCACAAAAACTGCACAAAAAACCTCTTACAACTTCCTAGAAAAACTCATTGCAACACAATAAAAGGTCGGGAAGAACTTTAATATATTGTATCTTGTTGAGAATTTTGCGCTCTACAAAACCCCTTATGAAAATCTCGAAAGAAAAGTTTCAAAAAGGCTCGAAAAAGAGGGGGAACATGATTACTTAGCATGAATTTGTGCCTGTTTTTGATCGATATCTAGGAGATTTCGATTAGAAAAGTTACGATTTGATCAGAACTAATATAATATTCTGAATCAGCATCAAAACCGAGTCGAGTTATATGTATTTCAAATATTTTTGAGACACTTTTTTTCGTTCTCAAAAAATTCACCCCTGGTCCTCCTCAGCGTTTAGTCAGAAATGAAATTCCTTGAGGGACCAGGGATGAATTTTTCAAGAGCAAAAAAGATATCTCAAAAATATTTGAAATACATATAAGCATACTCACAATGGAACTGTCTGTCATGTCAGTTGTTTTGCTTAACTATATTCGGGTCAAATTATCGCCGTCAATGAGAACCTACCAAATTTAAAATACGAACTGCTGATGGCTAGCCTAGATCGAGTTATTCAAACTTTAAGGCATTAACAATTTAGGGATATAAGAAAAACAGAATTTTTCAAATTCGGCTTTTTTTTGCACTATTAGCTTTTTTATGTATTGCTGTGCTAGTTATGAGATCTTCTGAAGGTTTGGTAGTATGTAAATGCGAAAATAATAGACTTTTTGAAAGAAAAATGATTCGTATATAAGATGTCTTAACTAACAATGAAGGTGTGTATTGTAACTCAAGAACATTGGACATATTCGGATTGATTTAAAGATCACATTACCAAACTAATAAATTTAAAATATGATGTGTTTATGACGTGCCCGAACCGCGGCACTTGAATTTTAAAGTATTCACAGTTAAGGCTTATACCACAGGATTTCTATCACGAAAATGGGGATGTGGATGTCGATAAACAGAAAACACACCCACATCCACACCCTTATTCAGCAATTGATGAAGAACTTTCTTCGTGTAAATGCACTATTAAACATGTTAAGTTTGATGATAATTGTATCGACATCATGGAATAAGTGTCTACAATTATTCATATACGATTTTTTGTTCAAATATTCTTCACTAAATCCTAAACGAATTTCAGAGGTGTCACTAATCGAGACAGAAAAACAAAAACATCATCGTATGTATAAACATGTGAAGATATTTTTAAAAAAATCAAATATCACAGTTTTAGTTTTTGACATCTGTAATAATCATGTATTCAATTTTATACATACTAGCTGTAACGAAAACACATAGAGAAATACGCTTTCTCTGAAATATTAGCAAAAACTTGTGTTGTGTGTTAGAACATTGAGAGAAATTTTTTTACATTACTCAGTTCTTTCCAAGACGAGCATGAGAATTTCGAAATAAGAGTTCTTTATACATACATTGTGTAATGGAAAAGAAATTTAATTTACACAGAATACTCATTCATATAAAACATTCTTTCATAAAAAACTATGATGATTCTGAATAATAAGCATCAGTCTAATGGTGTCACAAAAGTAAGAATAAAAATTGTTTTTTTTTTATGTGCAAATGTGCACAATCTAATGTCTACTGTATGATCTATCTTTATTCCATGCAACTTGTTATATTATATCAACAATTAGTTGTACAGCTATATGCAATTGATAATATGTGATCTTCTTTTCTTTATTTCGATTAACTATTTAAATTAATTTAATACGAATATAAACATTTTACTAAAGGTTCTACATGAATAACAGAACAATATAGACTTCGTCTTTTTTTTCATTCACATAATGTCGAATAAAAGTCTTAGAAAAGTCTACATCAGTTTGATAACAAAAATTGACTGAATCAAGACATCACAATAGTTCGAGTAATCGTAACTGTTTGCATCAGTGTTCTAAAATCTTATTCAGCGATGCTATAAGAGAAAAGTGTGTGCTGTGTCAATAATTGTCTATTTTCTGAAATCTGAATATATCTCATTCTATGAACATGTTTTAAACAATGATAATAGATATAAATACTGGAATAACATTTGAATTAATCGAGTTGGTCCATCAACTACTAAAGTAAAAAAAAGAAGCATTCAATAAATATTTCCAAGAAGTTAATTTGATGTTCATGATTACGTAAAATGCATTCACAGATCCTTATTCTTTCTCTTTGTATTTAATTATTCAATTCTATTGCTACAGTTTGTCCTAATCGCTTCTTGGAACAAATGAGGCACAAGTCTCGTACATACCAGTAATTATGATTTATTTAGCGGGTAAAAGAGAGGATTAAAAAATTCGATAAAATTTAACAATTTTTTTTTTAATCTTATGTATTTTAGTAGAATCTGCATAAATATCGTTTCAAATAAAGGATGTATGTCGATTTTCATTGCTTCATTCATTGGTGTCGCTCCTCCCACATGCAAGAAGTGTGCCAACACAGCCTCTGCGCTTCTGAGCAGGCTTGGAGCTTTCAGAGTAACGTTTGCGTTCAGATTTTTTTATATTAACGGATGGCATTTGATGTCTCGAATCTATCGTGTTCATATAAGAAGGTTGTATTAATGATATAGATAGCTGACTTCCACTGCGCTTATGTTCTTGTTGTTCGGACAGCTGACTCTCTAAAAAGCCTAGGTGCTGTATCCACTCGGCGACGCATATGATTAAATCACTAGCATATAATTTGTCTACCCACTTTTTTGGGATATTATGATAACCATAGTGGGCACCTGCTAATTGACCATAAATAGCTGCTGTAGTATCTGTATCATCGCCTAGATTAACAGCATTGAGTGCACCTTTTTCGAATGTATCTGTACTCCAGAATGCCCACAACGCTGCTTCAAGGGCCAAAACAATGTGTCCTTTGCCTCGAATTCCATCTTTATAACCTCCTGGTCGTTTGAAAGATCCTCTGGCGATACGCACAACGTCATCATGAAGAGGTTTCGAACCAAACCATTTTTGATGACAGTTATAAAATTCATTGCTGATTAGACTTTCTTTAGATTCCCCTTTAACAGCAGCAACGATCAGAGCTCCGTAGTAACGACATGCATCGAAAGCTACATCATCGCCATGTGTAAGACGAGCACTTTGGCCTGAAAGATCGACAGCCACAGCAGGTTTTCGGTAGAAGAAAAGTGGTACAGGAGCAAGACGCATCAGAGCTCCATTTCCAGCACTGTCTGGTCCACTACAATTGACATCAAACTGAGCACGCTTAATGAACTCTAGAGGCAATTGATCGACCTCAGATTCGGTTTTATAGTTATAATCTTTCTTTAACCGCATCTGACGATGATAGAATTCTTCCAATGAAGTACGTGTTGAGTTACCAATGTCGAAACAATGTCCCGTTGAAGATAAATACCCATTTTTATACCACCATTTATAACGAACCATCTGGTCATAAGGATTGAAATCTTTTTGAGTGATCAGTGATGAAGCAAGGCATAGTGCCATTGAAGTATCATCGGTCCACTGACCTGCTTGTAAACCCCATGTACCTCCAGCCACCATGTCAGTAACAGGATAGGCGGCGAGATATTGTTGAGGACGAAATTCGACGCTTGCTCCAAGTGCATCCCCTACTGCTAAGCCAACAAGTGAACCTGTGATTCGATAAAGAGTGTCAGTATCTTTCGATTTCACTGTTGGCCAAACTATTTTGATATCACCGGGAAGTTTTTTTTCATGAATGGAAGGAAATTCGAGTGTCATTATATAAATAAATCTAGAAAAGAATATTGTAGGTTGAGTTTTTTATCATCAACTTACATTAAAACATACATTTTTCAATAATAACTAGAAGACTGAAAAGAAAAACATCAGCTTTCTGTTTCAGTTGACAAAAAAAACAGATATTATTTTTCCAATAGTAGTATTTTAACGAAAACATCAATTTGTTGAAACATGTGTAAATGCGTTTCGCAATTGTTTTATTTTTCTCCTTCAAAGTGAAGAAAGAACATAGTTTAGTTTGATTTTTTCTTATCTTCATTCGTTAAGTGTAAGCTTCACCTGACGAAATCTACGAAGAAGAAAAAATGATGAAGCCAACAAAGGTAAAAGTGACATGTGCGACTTCGATCGATGAAAAATGAAAAAAAATAAAAACTTTCCTTGTCGTTCGACGAAAAACAAAATTCATGCAAAAAGATTAAGGCCACGTGTGCATCACCAAACAGAATATATTATAAATCGAATGAGCAAAATAATATACTCACAGTAGGTTCATTTATTAAAATAGTAATTGATGAAAAGATTGACTCTTATATACATGGCTTTTTTTATGATTTACACAGTCATGTTATGATATTCTCTTTGCATAATTACCTTCATGTAAAGAATATTTTTCGAATGTTTTCGAAGCATTTGTATTTTTTACATCGAAGAGAATAGTGGTGTAAAATTTTTTTTTTTCGTTCTGTTGTCTATTTATCGAAGAGTTCGGTTATATTATTTTAATTCAATTACTCGTCAGTGAGAGGTTTTTATAGAATTAATTTCAAAGGAATCATTCTATGGATGTTATTTTCATAATCAATGTAGCAAATATATTTTTTAAACGATCTAATACTACATGACTGCTCATTAAGTTTTTTCTTTTGAATAAATCTTTTGTCAAAGAAAAAAATCTATGGTAATAAAGCATATAAATACCTGTTTAACTTATGAATTGATCATTCAATTATGTTATTTTGTCTATTGCAAAATGTTGAAATTCTATGATTTTTCTTATCATCTCACTAACACAATTGTTATTAGAAATCAATCTGAAAAGATGAAATTCAGAAAACTGAGAACTATAAATAGATTTAACAACAAAAAAAACAAAATAATCGATAAAGTTGAGGATAAAGAATTGGTCTTATATATTTATATTAAATTATGTTTAACTTTAATTGAAATCTAACTGAATCTAAGAAGTTATAGAGCTCACTAATATATTCAATTGCAGTCTAATTTCTCTTAGTAAGCTCCGACCAAAACAAAAATAGAAAGAATCTTTAAGCGATGTTAAGTTATCTTGGAATTTCAGCTGTCTCATAGATGTTATTTAAAGTATGAATATATTATATTGTTAGATTTCATTGAATTATGTTCCAACTAAAAATAATGAAAGACTTTTTAGTTTATATATTTTTTATGGTAGAGTAATAAATGTCTTCTCTTGGAATTCGATGTTCAAAAATTTAATATGTGTATTTACTTCTTCACAAAAAATACTTTCGAATATAATTTTCTGACGTCGCTACAGAAATCATTTTATGCATACATTAAAATATGAATTAATGAAAGTGTATATCCTGTCTACTTAAAAGTAACCAGTACGTGCTATGTTCTGTTAATGGAAATGAAAATTAGAATTTATTTTTAAATAAAAGAAAATTTATTATTTTGTAGTTTTGTGTCTGATTAAAAACGAAATCTGTCAAAGTTTATTGTTACCTAAAATTCAATTTCGTCAGTTATATATGTATATAATTTGTTTTTCTAATATCTCAAAATGATATTAATATATAGAGTTGTAGTTTTAACCAAAATGTAGCCTTGTTACCATAGTTTATCTACGAACAATATCAGTTCACGACGTCATATGTTTACTCTTCCTGATTAGAAGTGCTAAAAATGATATACTTCGGTATCGGTTAAAATTGATTGACTATACACCACACGTAAAAAATGGCTGAATATTATACTTTACGTATCATATTCTTTTCAAGTGAAAGACATATTGAAATAATGTGTTAACAAAGTTTTATTTGCTTTTTAGTCAAAATATTGTAAAAGGTATAACTTCTCGTCCAAAAAAATGAAATATGGGATTTTTAATCGTAATATGTCCTTATATTTTTGGCGTATGGTATATGATCAATTTCCAGCGCCTTTATATACATACAAGATGAGTCATAAAATATCTGTACAATAAAAAATTTAAATATATTCACTCTGCTCGAAGGTACTAGGCTGATTCTTTTATCAATGATAGAGAAGTATTCAAAGTTGTCTTTTTATTCATAAGAAAATTGTTAATGAACACTGCTTTCAATTATCGACGTTCACGTCAATGCGTATTGTAACATTTTGTGGATTAGGAAAAAAGAAATGCAGAATAGTTCATATATATTTTTATGTTTCTAACGTTGGATAGCAACAAGAAATGTCAAAATAACCTTTATTCAAAAAGTCAAAGTGATGCATACAAACCAAAATGGTAGAATAAGTCAATGGAAATGTTTCAAATGAGGTCCATTAGCATCAATGTACCGTAACAATCTTTCAGATACTGAATCACATACTTTCCTGCAAAGGTGAGAATCAATTTTTCGGAATGCTGAAATAGTTGACTGATTGTGATCCGACATACTCTAAGACTTGTCTGGATACATGATTTCTATGAGATAACAAGAAGTCCGCCGGTATTAGATCAGACGACCTTGCAGATCAATCGATTGGATTTCAACAGCCAATTCTTGTTGTCGGGAACTTTTGATCAAGTCACTCTCGAACAACCCATCTACCTACCCACAGTGTAAAAAAAACTTAGGATAATAAATCTTTCAAGCGTTTATGAAAACAAATAATAAACTTTACACAGGTTTTTTATTTTTATGATCGAACAAGGATTCATGAAAATGAGTCGTATAACAAACTCTGAAATGGTTTACGAAAAATTTGATGTAGGACTTATGAAGCTAATAAATCCATCTAAACGGCTTATTATTCTATGCTTTTTCTTTACAGTACACATTCACATCGTTCACGGATGCGTTAGAGCGCAATGTGGATAATGGGTTTGTTTTTGAGGGAAAGTGAGTTATTTCACGAATAGCGATGGTACTTTATCTTTACGTCACCCAATAAAGTAAAATGTACATGGGTAATTCCATGGGGTTCCTACCATTGTTACAGGTACTACATTCAAATCGTTGTTCAATAACCTCATCTTATAGAGCTTTTTGTCCTGATCATTTTAGCTTCCAAAAAGTCTAGCATTCGATAGTAGATAAGAGAGAAATCAACGAAATATTGAGATACCTCTCTTTCAATTATTTTTTCGACTTCAAACGTGGCCTTTTTCAGTATCTTAGCGAGCAATCGTTTTAATATTTTCTTAATCAAAATTTCAACTTCAGATTCGTGTAGAGCATTGAAAACTATCTAATATTATATATTTTTGAAAGTATTTTCTTGATATTTTTTTGGTCCTATGCATACATCTTTCTTTTACTAAATACACGAATAATGAGGAAAATACGGAAAATGTTGACTTATGAGTTCAATAAAAAATGGAATTTCGGCACTTGGTGGTATATATAGTTCGATAGAGGAGCCTCTGCTCTATCGAACTGTATATTTAAATTTTCATGGGAATAGCATTTGCTGATTAAACAGGATCAAAAACGCGAAAAGACTGTTTTTTCCACGGTATTTTATGCGAATTTCCGTAATATTTCAACATTCATTCGTATTTTTTTTACGACCAAAAAACAAATTTCAACGTTGAATTTAGAATCAGCATGAAAAATTGCATCGAATAAACTATTTTGTGCTATGTGGGTTCATCTTGCCTAAAGTGTCTTGGACTATGTATTTATTCCCTTTTTTTATGCTGCCAATTTATTGATTTATATTCAAAAGGAGTTATGTCATAGTGTGGAGCTAGCTTACCAACAAATGTGAACCCAATATTATTATTCTAAGAATCACCATTCATTGCTGATTATTTTTCAGTAGTTTATCTGCTACTTTAGCACAACTTATTTGGTCATACTTGAGGTGAAGATACATTTGCATTTCGTGGTAGGAACCCCATGGAATTACCCGATATTAAACGGTCATAGTATCACAACCAAACAGTGCTGGTTAACCATAGAAAAGTACCGGTTAGCGGTGGTTAACCGAAAAACCGCGATATACTGCCGGTTTTTCTCTGGTTTTTATCACACGGGCGCATAATGAATTTTTTCTATTCTTTTTAGTATCATTAAATAAGATTCAATTATATTCACTGATTCTGTTCAAATCTTTGAAACTATTTAAAACTCCGATTGACGATGTTTTATCGTTGCAACGTTGAGTCGATTGTGTTAGGTAATGAACATATTTATTCAGAGTCTACTTTTACATCTATCGAAAAATATAAATGAAAACAGACACTATGTTTTTCATCAAAGGAGATAATGACTTCGATTGTAAGTAAATTAAGATGAGTTGTAGCCTTTAGCCTCTTGATTGGATTCTTATGAAGAACAGGAGAATAAAAAAGTAGAAAGTTGTTCTGAGATCATTTAATTCTTGAATTGTTACAACGCTTATTCGTAGATAAATCACTTTAATAGTGAGAAGGATGAAAAATCTTTGCGCGATATAAAAGTAGATGCACGATATAACAATTTTTGATTATCTACATATTGCTATTTAACATTCATTCGACATATTTCTTGAAGATGATCAAACATATGAAAAGTCTTGTTCTCTTCAGCTATTCAATCAGTAATGTTCTTGTGACAATTTCAAGATTGAAAACTATTTCTTGCCTATATTACGTCAGAATATCAATTTAGCTTGTACACACTTACATTCTGACTGAACTCAAATCGATAGAATATCAATCAACTTCCAAATACTCTGCGATGCATTGAAAGATCAAGAGCCATTGCTCATTGATCGTTTTTATCCGATAGATGAAACACATTATGATGAATGACCATGTA